GCATTCTGGATCCTATTGTTCTAGGACCAATCAGACTGCTGCATTTTGGATCCTATTGTTCTAGGACCAATCAGAGTGCTGCATTCTGGGTCCTATTGTTCTAGGACCAATCAGACTGCTGCATTTTGGGTCCTATTGTTCTAGGACCAATCAGAATGCTGCATTCGGATCCTATTGTTCTAGGACCAATCAGACTGCTGCATTCGGATCCTATTGTTCTAGGACCAATCAGACTGCTGCATTCAGATCCTATTGTTCTAGGACCAATCAGACTGCTGCATTTGGATCCTATTGTTCTAGGACCAATCAGACTGCTGCATTTTGGATCCTATTGTTCTAGGACCAATCAGACTGCTGCATTTGGATCCTATTCAACTCAGTACATAACAGAGATATTGATGGATGGGAGCGCAAAGCCAAGATTCGTTGGGAAGAAACAGTTAAATGGACAGGCCCTGGCGCTCCGGCCATACTGTAATGTTCTATGCTGCGTGCGATAAATATGCCTTTGCGCAACCGGGTCTGCAGGGGGGAAGAGAGAGGGAGGGGCTATGTGCCTCTTGGTCCTCATTAACTTTGACATCTCCTTTTGATTAAACTCAGATGCTTCCCGCAAATTCCTGAGGCCGCTTGTTGACTCTCCTCTCAGAATTAAGGTCACAAACTTCCATTTCTGCCGGCGGCTCGGTTGATCTGACACGAACCTCGCCGTGAGGCGGCTGGGAAAAAACAGGGGGCTCTTTCAGCTTGTAGCTCCCTCCCTCTCAGCACCCCCCCGCCCCCCGTCTCTTGGCTGAACTTATTGCTTTCACGGCAGGTACACAGAGCAGATCGCCTGCAAAAACGTCGGCACGGAGGGGGCAGCGGCCGTGGACCACATTTCTGCTGACCTCCAAACCCTTTGGAACTTTCCCCGCTATAAAGGCCCCCAAACCACCCCCTGAGAGCTTGGTCCCAGCGATGCTCCTTCAACAGGAAGATCTGGAAATGGCAAGGAGGGTTTCTGGGTAGCATTCACAACCAGGACTTCTCCCAAAGAATTCTGGGAGCTGTTTGTTCAGAGCTCCAAGACCTCTTAGGTAAAGGGACCCCTGACCATTAGGTCCAGTCGTGGCCGACTCTGGGGTTGCGGCGCTCATCTCGCTTTACTGGCCGAGGGAGCCGGCGTACAGCTTCCGGGTCATGTGGCCAGCAGGACTGAGCCGCTTCTGGCGAACCAGAGCAGCGCACGGAAATGCCGTTTACCTTCCCGCCGGAGCGGTACCTATTTATCTACTTGTACTTGACGTGCTTTCGAACTGCTAGGTTGGCAGGAGCAGGGAACGAGCAATGGGAGCTCACCCCGTCGCGGGGATTCGAACCACCGACCTTCTGATTGGCAAGTCCTAGGCTCTGTGGTTTAGACCACAGCGCCTCCCGCGTCTCTCCAAGACCTCTTAGGAGGCCTCTATATCCCACCCTCTGAACTACAATTCCAGAGTTCCCCACAAAGAGGGATTGATTGCTAAACCACTCTGGGAATTGTAGCTCTGTGACGGGGGACCATATTTTCCAGGGACAATCCTGGATTTGCATAAGCTGTCCCAGTTACTGATTTGATTCTGGAATGTCCCGCTTTTCCTAAGGCGTCCCTATTTTCATCGGAGAAATGTTGGAGAGTATGGAATAGGACGTCCTTGTTTTCATCGGAGAAATGTTCATCACCCAGAGAACAATGGTTACTGGGTGGTGGATTCACAGTTATAGGGTGCTGTTGTTGTTGTTTAGTCGTTTAGTCATTTCCGCCTCTTCGTGACCCCCTGGACCAGAGCACGCCAGGCACTCCTGTCTTCCACTGCCTCCCGCAGTTTGGTCAAACTCATGCTGGTAGCTTCGAGAACACTGTCCAACCATCTGGTCCTCTGTCGTCCCCTTCTCCTTGTGCCCTCCATCTTTCCCAGCATCAGGGTCTTTTCCAGGGAGTCTTCTCTTCTCATGAGGTGGCCAAACTCTTGGAGCCTCAGCTTCAGGATCTGTCCTTCCAGTGAGCACTCAGGGCTGGTTTCCTTCAGAATGGAGAGGTTTGATCTTCTTGCAGTCCATGGGACTCTCAAGAGTTTCCTCCAGCACCAGAATTCAAAAGCATCCATTCTTCGGCGACCAGCCTTCTTTATGGTCCAGCTCTTACTTCCATACATCACTACTGGGAAAACCATAGCTTTAACTATACGGACCTTTGTTGGCATGGTGATGTCTCTGCTTTTTAAGATGCTGTCTAGGTTTGTCATTGCTTTTCTCCCAAGAAGCAGCCATTATACAAATTTAATTAATAATAATGATGATGGTGATGATAAATTTTACAAACTATGGGCTGTATCCAACTGAATTCTACTCAGACGGATTACCGTATTTTTTGCTTTATAAGACTCACTCTTTCCCTCCTAAAAAGTAAGGGGAAATGTGTGTGCGTCTTATGGAGCGAATGCAGGCTGCGCAGCTATCCCAGAAGCCAGAACAGCAAGAGGGATTGCTGCTTTCACTGCGCATCGATCCCTCTTGCTGTTCTGACTTCTGAGATTCAGAATATTTTTTTTCTTGTTTTCCTCCTCCAAAAACTAGGTGCGTCTTGTGGTCTGGTGCGTCTTATAGAGCGAAAAATACGGTAGTTGCTCTTAGTTAAGTCATTTCAAAGGGCCTACTTTGCACAGGACCAATATTGGGTTTGGTTCAACTAAGCTTTACCGGCTGAAATGGATAAACGCAGCTAAAACAGGTCCGTTCGTTTCAGTGGGTCTACTCTTGAGGAAAAACAGGGCTGGCTACAACCCAATCTGCAATACGCACAGAGGAGAAATGACTGCAGCTATTCAAAAAAGGAAAGGGAAAAAAGAAAAACACTTAAAAAGTAAATCTGAAATGGAGTTATTTCCTGCTCAGAGTGTTGGGAAACTGCTTTGGCCATGTCTGGCAGTTCGCGAATAACTCCTAGCAATGCCGGGATGTTTTGAACTATTCATAGCTGGGTTGTGTTTTAAAAATAAATACATAATCGCCGCTCGTCTACGGGGTGGAAGGGAAGCCTTGGGAACGTCCAGCGCGCTCCGCCTTGCGAGGAATTCTCATCCCGTCCGGTGGAACAAAGGAACCTTTCAGAAAAGCAGGACGTAATTTGAGGACCCACTGGGACGCAAGCCTCCCCGGCCAGAGAAAATATTGTTCCTCTCAGCGAGTGACGGCACATTTACGGCACATGTTCGCTCTGGGAGGTGCGGTGAGGGGGGAGGCAGGAAAAAAAGCCCCAACGCATGACGTAGCCAAGGTAAGAACCAGCCAGCACTGCAAGTGGTCCCACTGGGAGAGGCGAGTTATTTTTCTTAAAAAAAACACACACACACCAGGCTCCTTAATTAAATTTGCTCGGTTTCTTCTGGCAGCCTGGAAAGGATGCTAGCGTCCATACGTGCCATCCGAAAAAAGAAAAAAGAGCGACTCCTTTCTCTGTCCCCCCACCCCACTCCAACTTGTAAACCCCGCAGTGCAGGATTTACGTATAAGCTAAACAAGCTATAGCTTAGGGCCCCATTCGCTTGGGGCCCCCCAAAAAATGTAAAGGGGGAAAAAAACCTTTACATTATATAAGATAAAGAACAAATAGAATAAAGTCTACATACAGCAACAGTAAGGGACGCGGGTGGCGCTGTGGGTTAAACCCACGATTTACATCATAGGAGCCTACACAACACAAAACACTGTACAGGTAAAGGTAAAGGGACCCCTGACCATTAAGTCCAGTCGTGGCTGACTCTGGGGTTGCGGCGCTCATCTCGCTTTATTGGTCGAGGGAGCCGGCGTACAGCTTCCAGGTCATGTGGCCAGCAGGACTAAGCCATCTATGCTAGTCTACCACTACAAATCTATGGGAGAAGAGCTTGCATGCCAGGCTGACCATCTCATCCAGGTCCTTCAGCAGCACAGCCACAGTACGGCCTAGCGGGAGCGGGAGCGGCGGTGACGGGCAGAGGGGAGGCCCCAGGCAGAGACGCTCAGTTTGGCGGCCGCGAGTATGGCGGCGGAAGGGCCCAAGGCTCCCACCAGACCCGGCGGGGAGGGGTTCCCGGGGGCCGAGGCTGGTGAGAGGAGGCCGGAGGGGGGCAGGCCAGGCAGTTGGAGCTTCCTTCCTCCCTGGCCTCGTCAATATCTGCGAGAGGCGGAAGAGATGTAGCAAGGGAAACCACCGTCACCTCTTTGCTGGGAAGCGCTGAGCAAAGGCGAGTCCCCAGGCAACACGGCCGATTTGATCAGCACAAGGTATGCAAGCTCCACCCCCCAGTCGTTCTTAGACTCCTTATTGGGTGAGCAACGCAGCCAAGCAACCCAGTTGGAGCCTCCCTCCTCCCTGGCCGGCAGGGAGGGAGGGAGAGGAGCTGCTTCCTTTGAAACCCGGGAAATTTAAGGGACATCCATCAATAAGGGACAGCAGCGGGACACGGCGCTGGGATAAGGGACTGTCCCGTCAAATAAGGGACGCTTGACAGCTATGGTTTGAAAAGAAACACCCCAGTAAGTCCACAGCGGCAATGGCGAATTGAGCAATCGATTCTCCATCTTACCCACGCAACGGGAGCCATCCGGACTTGTCATGAAGCCCCGGGGACAGGCACAGACGTAGCTCCCGGCCGTGTTGGTGCACTCGCCGCCGTCGCAAACTCCTGAGATGCTGGTACATTCGTCCACATCTGGAAAGAGCAATGGCAAGAACTGTGAGAGTGGACTGGCTTGGTGATGTTGTCGCCTGGGTGTTGTAGCCCAAGGGTCAGCAAACTTTCTAGGCAGGGGGCCGGTCCACTGTCCCTCAGACCTTGTGGGGGACCGGACTATATTTTGGGGGGAAATATGAACAAATTCCTATGCCCCACAAATAACCCAGAGGTGCATTTTAAATAAAAGGACACATTCTACTCATGTAAAAACACGCTGATTTCCAGACCGTCCGCGGGCCGGATTTAGAAGGCGATTGGGCCGGATTCGGCCCCCGGGCCTAAGGTTGCCTATCCAAGCCCTAAATTGTCTCAGCCCTGTATCCCTGAAGAAGCATCTCCACTCCCATCGTCCAGCCTGGACACTGAGGTCCCGCTCCGAGGGTCTTCTGGCAGTTCCCACAATGCAAGACGTGAAGCTACAGGGAACCAGGCAGAGGGTGTGTGTGTGTGGCAAAATTGGGGGGTTGAGAAGGGCCAAATTGGGGGGTTGAGAAGGGTTAAAATCTTCCTGATATGGGTACATATTGATATAGGAATGCATTAGATAAACTGTAAAGAAATATACAATAATAGGAGTACATTCATTTGTAAAAAAAGAATACACAACAAGATTGAGTCTGTAGTGTTGGTAGAAATATTATTTTGAAATGGCTTTATGTCTTTTTCTTTCTTTTTTCTTGCTTTAGGTACATTAATTTGGTATATAAACTTTGTGTACATGTTGGAAATTATATTATAATATGCCCTGTAATGTAATATGATAATGTATACATATGTGATATAAGAACTTTAATTAAAAAACAACAACTTCCTGATACAGGGCAGCCTTCAGATGTCTTCTAGAAGTTGTATACAGTGGTACCTCCGGTTACATATGCTTCAGGTTGCAGACTCCGCTAAGCCAGAAATAGTACCTCGGGTTAAGAACTTTGTTTCAGGATGAGAACAGAAATCGTGCTCCAGCGGCGCGGCAGCAGCAGGAGGCCCCGTTAGCTAAAGCGGTGCTTCAGGTTAAGAACAGTTTCAGGTTAAGAACGGACCTCCGGAACGAATTAAGTACTTAACCTGAGGTACCACTGTAGTTCTTTATCTCCTTGACATCTGTTCCGCAAGGCAGGTGAGGACCTCTGCCTGGTCCCCTGTAGCTTCACTTCTCACTCCTTGACATGGTCCCTTCCAACTCTTTTGATTCTTTGATACACTCGTTTCAGTTCCTTCTCCTCCAGACACCCCCCACGGCCTCCTGGCTCTTGCCCAGGGCTCCACCCGTCCACCTTGGCTCTCAACCAGCTCCCAGCGAAACTCACACCTCGCCCACAAACCCCCACGAAGAAGAGGGTTCCTGGAAACCTCTGAGATCACTGCAAACTCCCTTTTTACGGGCAAGCCCCTTGGTGGATGTTGAGGTTCCCCAGGCTGTCTGCAGCTCCATCCCATTCAGCAATCAGCCGGTCTCTCCAAACCCAGTTCCAAGGCTATACTGGGTTTGGTGGGCTCCCTGAATGGGCGAGTTGGTTTCCCTAGGAAACCAAACAGTCCTCCCCAGCCTGCTGCTTTGGCAAATATTGTCTTTCGCTGCTGCTTTCTGACGATTTCATACCTCGGTAGTCAAACGTCTTAGTTGCCGCACAAATCGGCTCCCGGACGCTGCAAACCCGGAAATGAGTGTTCTGGTTTAGCCAATGTTTTTTGGAAGCTGAACGTCCGGCGGCCAATCAGAAGCTACACCTTGGTTTTTGAACCGTTTCAGAAGTCAAACGGACTCCCGGAACGGATTAAATTTGAGAACCAACAGACAATGGTACCTCGGGTTAAGTACTTAATTCGTTCCGGAGGCCCGTTCTTAACCTGAAACTGTTCTTAACCTGAAGCACCACTTTAGATAATGGGGCCTCCCGCTGCCACCACACTGCTGGAGCATGATTTCTGTTCTCATCCTGAAGCAAAGTTCTTAACCCGATGTACTATTTATGGGTTAGCAGAGTCTGTAACCTGAAGCGTATGTAACCTGAAGCGTATGTAACCCGAGGTACCACTGTACGACTGTAAGGTAAAGGTAAAGGGACCCCTGACCATTAGGTGCAGTCGTGACCGACTCTGGGGTTGTGGCTCTCATCTCGCTTTATTGGCCGAGGGAGCTGGCGTACAGCTTCCGGGTCATGTGGCCAGTATGACTAAGCTGCTTCTGGAGAACCAGAGCAGCGCACGGAAACGCCGTTTACCTTCCCGCCGGAGCGGTGCCTATTTATCTACTTGCACTTTGACGTGCTTTCGAACTGCTAGGTTGGCAGGAGCAGGGACTGAACAACGGGAGCTCACTCCGTCGCGGGGATTCGAACCGCCAACCTTCTGATCGGCAAGTCCTAGGCTCTGTGGTTTAACCCACAGCGCCACCCGTGTCCCTTTCTACGACTGTATTCACTTATTAATTTTATAATGCCGATCTATAGCCATGGATCTCAGAGCTGTCTGCAACATACATTTCTACATACAGTGGATTCTCGGGTTGCGAACGTGATCTGTGCAGTATGCGCCTTCGCAACCCACAGCGGCGCGTCTGCGCACGCGCGGGTTGCGATTCGGTGCTTCTGTGCATGCGCCAAGCGCGATTTAGCACTTCTGTGCATGCTTGACCCCCAAAACCCAGAAGTAACCCATTCCGGTACTTCCGGGTTTCGGCGGGTCCATAACCCGAAAAAAGACAACCTGAAGCATCTGTAACCTGAGGTATGACTGTATACGAAACCCAGAATCTTGTTTTACAATATCTTCCAATATATTGCTATGCTGATTCTCGCTGACAAATCTAGGAAGGGGTAGGAATCGTTTCCTCTTTGTATCCAGGGCTGGATTTAGGTTTGATGAAGCTACTTAAGGTAATGGGTTCCTTTATCTGTCCAGCTGTCCTTTATCAGCAACAAATTGTCGCTGTTTTGTTGTGTTGAATATATGCTTTATGGTAATTTATGGACCCGATAGGTATCTAAAGCCATTTGCACATAACAAACTACATTTTTTATCACAGTAATTGTTAAACTGAAATGCAATTATCTTATATTTTGGAAATGTAAAGGTAAAGGGACCCTTACCTATTTGAATATTGTAATATTAAAGATTGGTAACTACAGTGGTACCTCGGGTTACATACGCTTCAGGTTACAGACTCCGCTAACCCAGAAATAGTGCTTCAGGTTAAGAACTTTGCTTCAGCTGAGAACAGAAATCGTGCTCCGGCGGTGCGGCAGCAGCAGGAGGCCCCATGAGCTAAAGTGGTCCTTCAGGTTAAGAAGGGTTTCAGGTTAAGAACGGACCTCTGGAACGAATATTCTTTTCGCTGACACATTCCAGAGCGTTAAACAAGCCCTTTGGGGGAGGGAAAATGCCTTTTTCTGAGAGAGACGCAGCAGCTGAACCTGATGGGGAAAGCAGTCCAACCGCAGCACATCTGGGAATGTGCGACATTCACCCCCCCCCCCCGCTCTCAACACACCCTGGAAAGCCTTTTCTCATAAAGAGGAGAGGGCGGGGGTGGATATGAGCTTTGCGGAAGGCTGGAAATATTCACTCCAGTACAGCGGTACCTTGGTTCTCAAACGCCTTGGCACTCAAACAACTTAGAAGCCAAACACCGCAAACCCAGAAGTACAGTGGTACCTCGGGTTACATACGCTTCAGGTTACAGACTCCGCTAACCCAGAAATAGTACCTCGGGTTAAGAACTTTGCTTCAGGATGAGAACAGAAATCGTGCTCCGGCTGAGCAGCGGCAGCGGGAGGCCCCATTAGCTAAAGTGGTGCTTCAGGTTAAGAACAGTTTCAGGTTAAGAACGGACCTCCGGAACGAATTGGGTACTTAACCCGAGGTACCACTGTAAGTGATCTGGTTTGCGAACATTTTTCGGAAGCCGAAAATGCTCCGTTTTGAGTGTTACGCTGAGGTCTGTCTGTTCTTGCTATTTATTTTGCTTTTCTGTTTTTGCGGCTCTTTTTGTTTTTGTGAGTGTGCGGAACCCAGTTCAGCTACTGACTGATTGTGTGACTGCAGTGCATTGTTTATTGCTTTCATTTTATGGATCAATGGTCTCGTTAGATAGTAAAATTCATGTTAAATTGCTGTTTTAGGGGCAGTCTGGAACGGATTAATCCGTTTTGCATGACTTTCTATGGGAAAGCGCACCTTGGTTTTGGAACGCTTTGCTTTTGGAACGGACTTCTGGAACGGATCAAGTTTGAGAACCAAGGTACCACTGGTTTGAAACCGATTTGGATTACAACTGTTTTGGATTACAACCACGTCAAACCCAGAAGTGCATGTCCCTTTTTTGGACTACAACCCCTTTTTTATTATTACAACCAATTTTTTTTTGAGGCCCCACTGTCTGCGGACAAACACCGGCTCCTTCGGCCTGTAAAGCGAGATGAACGCCACAACCCCAGAGTCGTCTGCAACTGGACTTAACTGTCAGGGGTCCTTTACCATTACCTTTTTAAAGGGAATCTACTAGGAACGTACAATTCAGTCTGGGACAGGCTGAGTTGTATCATAGTGAGAGGCTCACACGAGCCTGCGACCAGCTATCTGCTCTGCGTGAGAAGGGGAATGTAAACTCTGCTAAGTAAAGGAACTTGCTAGCACAAGTTAGGAAGGATATTAAAAAGGTAAAGGTAAAGGGACCCCAGACCATTAGGTCCAGTCGTGGCTGACTCTGGGGTTGCGGCGCTCATCTCGCTTTATTGGCCGAGGGAGCCGGCGTACAGCTTCCGGGTCATGTGGCCAGCAGGACTAAGCCGCTTCTGGCGAACCAGAGCAGCGCACGGAAATGCCGTTTACCTTCCTGCGGGAGCGGTACCTATTTATCTACTTATACTTTGACGTGCTTTCGAACTGCTAGGTTAATAATAATATTCCCCAGCCACTCTGGGCGGCTTCCTAAAGAATATTAAAATACTATAATACATCAAACATTAAAAGCTTCTCGAAACAGGGCTGCCTTCAGATGTCTTCTAAAAGTCTGGTAGTAGTTGTTCTCTTTGACATCTGGTGCGAGGGTGTTCCACAGGGAAGGTGCCACTACCGAGAAGGCCCTCTGCCTGGTTCCCTGTAACTTGGCTTCTCGCAGTGAGGGAACCGCCAGAAGGCCCTCGGAGCTGGACCTCAGTGTCCGGGTAGAACGATGGGGGTGGAGACGCTCCTTCAGATTCAGGTTGGCAGGAGCAGGGACCAAGCAACGGGAGCTCACCCCGTTGTGGGGATTCGAACCGCCAACCTTTGATTGGCAAGTCCTAGGCTCTGTGGTTTAACCCACAGCGCCACAAGTTAGGAAGGACATTAATAAGCAATATATCCTCTCCTGCCACCCTGAACATTCCCACATGTTTCTCCTTCGGAAATTTCTGGCCCCTTTCTCTCCCCCGCTCACCTTCGCACTTGTGGCTCGTCTCGCTCTGCTTGTGGCCCACCGGGCACTTGCATTCGTAGGACCCCACCGTGTTGAGGCAGTTTCCTCCTTGGCAAAGCCCAGGGATCGCCTGGCATTCGTCCACATCTGCAGGGAGGAATTGAGGAGACAGAAATGAAGACAGCTGGGAACGCTGAAGGTAAAGGTCACCTTCATTTTGCCAGGTCTGCGGCACAGTAAACCCTGGTTTGCACAAACCATTGTTCGGAACGCTATCTACGCCGGACCTCCCAGTGTGGTGTAGTGGTTGAGAGGAGTAGATTCGTAATCTGGTGAACTGGGTTTGCGTCTCCGCTCCTCCACATGCGGCTACTGGGTGACCTTGGGCTAGTCACACTTCTCTGAAGTCTCTCAGCCTCACTCACCTCAGAGAGTGTTTGTTGTGGGGGAGGAAGGGAAAGGAGAATGTTAGCCGCTTTGAGACTCCTTGAAGGTAAAGGGACCCCTGACCATTAGGTCCAGTTGTGACCTGACTCTGGGGTTGCGGCGCTTATCTCGCTTTATTGGCCAAGGGAGCTGGCGTACAGCTTCCGGGTCATGTGGCCAGCATGACTAAGCCGCTTCTGGCGAACCGGAGCAGCGCAAGGAAATGCTGTTTATCTTCCCGCCGGAGGGGTACCTATTTATCTACTTGCACTTTGACGTGTTTTTGAACTGCTAGGTTGGCAGGAGCAGGGGACCGAGCAACAGGAGCTCACCCCGTCGCGGGGATTCGAACCGCCGACCTTCTGATCAGCAAGTCCTAGGCTCAGTGGTTTAACCCACAGCACCACCCGCGTCCCTTGAAACTCCTTAGGGTAGTGATAAAGCAAGATATCAAACTCTTCTTCTTCTTCTCTCCCACCCTCTGAGCCAGGGATCAGCAACCTAAGGCCCATCAACCACAAACAGCCCATGGGGTCATTTAACAGGCCCATGAGCCGCACCCGAACCAAGCCGCCCATTCGGTGAGTCCCTGCGAACTGCACTAAACCGGCGCAGCATGGCGACTCGCTTCCGCAGCGCCGGAAATCACGCCGGCGCCGGAAGTCACGTCTGTGCAGAAGCCGAAAATCACAAATGTGCACGCTGAATCCAGCCCACGGAGGAATCTCCGCTGGAGTGAACCGGCCCAGGCGAGGTAAACCTTGCCGACCGCTGCTCTGAGCGAAACTGTGCTTTGTAGCTGCTCGTCTGCTTTAGTGTGACATCAAATCAGCAATAAAACCAACAACCCCATTTTGTTGTGTTTGGGGACTCCTGGTTTGACTGCTTCAAAGGAGTTTTAGAAGCGAGAAAACCCTCTCTTGGGCTCAAGGGAGAGAAACGTATTTTATCGGACGTCCTTTTGATTCCATCTCCCTTGAAAAGCAGCGGTTAAATCCGCTCGGAACATCAATGGCTATGAAAGGCCCGTTTGAGCAGGACTCTTTCCGAAAGGGCAGCATCCAGCAGCTTTGGGGCCACCACCGAAAAGGCCCCGTCAATCATGGCAATGGTTCTGAGCTTCCAGTAGGGGCTGGGTGAGTGGTGGAGGAACTTACCTTGGCAAGCGCCAGTCCGTATGTTAGGGATGAAGCCGCGGCGGCAGGGGTGGGGCTGGGCGGGGCACATCTCGCAAGGGTGGCCCCATGCCCGCCCGATGGTGGCGCAGCACATGGTCTTGGTGCAAACGATACCACTGAGTTGCCCTTGGCACATCTGGTTGCTGACTTGGCTGAAGCAGGGGCCTGTGCGGTAATCTAGAAGAGGAACAAGAAAGGGGATATGTTTATGATTTTGAATCAAAATCTTGAAAAGCCAATGGAAGGCACTCCGGGCCACCTAGGCCACCTGAGCAGCTCTATAAGACGCACCAGACCACAAGACGCACCTAGTTTTTGGAGGAGGAAAACAAGAAAACAAATATATTCTGAATCTCAGAAGCCAGAACAGCAAGAGGGATCTCTGCGCAGTGAAAGCAGCAACCCCTCTTGCTGTTCTGGCTTCTGGGATAGCTGCGCAGCCTGCATTCGCTCCATAAGACGCACACACATTTCCCCTTACTTTTTAGGAGGGGAAAAGTGAGTCTTACAGAGCAAAAAATACGGAAAAGGAAACTCAGCCAGGGGGATTCAAGGAAGCCACCTAACAATGTTAACAAAAGTGGAATTATTATAATCAGCATAAATGTTTGTTGGTTTGTTTTGATTTTCTTTTTCTTATCTGTTATAAATTTGGAAAATTAATAAAATCTATTGGGGGCAGGAATGAATTCCACAGGTAGGCAATTTCAACTTCAGCAGGTGATACAAGCATAAAAGAGAGAGATGTCAAAACTCTCTAAGTGTCCCTATCTTGCAGGGACAGCTCCGGATTCCCAGAGGCCGTCCCGGTTTCCAATTTGATCTCAGAACGTCCCGCTTTTCCTTTTTGTTGTTGTTGAGTCGTTTAGTCGTGTCCGACTCTTCGTGACCCCATGGACCAGAGCACGCCAGGCACTCCTGTCTTCCACTGCCTCCCGCAGTTTGGTCAAACTAATGCTGGTCTCTTTGAGAACACTGTCCAGCCACCTCGTCCTCCGTCGTCCCCTTCTCCTTGTGCCCTCCATCTTTCCCAACATCAGGGTCTTTTCCAGGGAGTCTTCTCTTCTCATGAGGGGGCCAAAGTCTTGGAGCCTCAGCTTCAGGATCTGTCCTTCCAGTGAGCACTCAGGGCTGATTTCCTTCAGAATGGAGAAGGTTGGATCTTCTTGCAGTCCATGGGACTCTCAAGAGTCTCCTCCAGCACCAGAATTCAAAAGCATCCATTCTTTGGCCATCAGCCTTCTTTATGGTCCAGCTCTCACTTCCATACATCACTACTGGAAAACCATAGCTTTAACTATACAGTCCTTTGTTGGCAAGGTGATGTCTTTGCTATTATTACTATTATTATTATTATTAGTAGTAGTAGTATTAACTTTAACAAGACGGACCTTTGTCGGCAAGGTGATGTCTCTGCTTTTTAAGATGCTGTCTAGGTTTGCCATCGCTTTTCTCCCAAGAAGCAGGCGTCTCCTTAGGACGTCCCTACTTCCGCCGGAGAAACGTCGGAGGGTATGAGCTCTCCTGAGGAAACCCAAAAGCGTAGCTGGGATGAGAGCGACTGCCTTTTTCCTCCAAAGGCCTCATGTATTTCCACACAACCCAAACAAGGCCAAATATTTTCTACAGGGGATTGCCGGGTGATCAGAAACAGATTGCGGGACGCGGTTCTCTTCCCTATTTTGCAGCCCCGCGACGTCTCTACAGCTCATTAGGACCCAAACTTCATGTGTAACCGTTTAGCTCATTCTACCAAAAAGGAGAGAGGTTAAAACGGAATCTTTTCATAATGTGGAACAGTTGGTCTGTCCCTCCTTCCAAACAGAAAACGTAATTAAAACTAGCAGGGGGGTGGAATTATCCATCCATCGTGAAATGTCCTGTGCTGAGAGAGAGAGTCTGTGCTTTGGAATCTGGAGCAATCGAGGCAGATGTTCCAGAGAGATGGCTCTTCTGGGCTTTGACATACCCTGATAGCATGTCTCTTCTAAAGCACGCTTAGAAATGGTTGAGGAAGGAGTGTCTGAGAGGAAATGGCAGAATAGCTACCAGGGAGGATTTGTTGTTGTTTAGTCGTGTCCGCCTCTTCGTGACCCCCTGGACCAGAGCATGCCAGGCACTCCTGTCTTCCACTGCCTCCCGCAGTTTGGTCAAACTCGTGCTGGTAGCTTCGAGAACACTGTCCCACCATCTCGTCCTCTGTCGTCCCCTTCTCCTTGTGTCGTCCCCTTCTCCTTACTCTGCGTAGCCGAGTAAGATTGCCTTCCATGAACACGGTTTTAACAGTGAGTCCATAAGTGACTGCAGAGGCCAATTATGGATCCACATGTTCTTCCACAGTGGGGACATAGGTTTCCAGGCGGGAGTTGATTCCGGTGAGGGTTTGCCAAGCGTGCCTTCCTCTTAGCACGTTTCTCTCTTGCGTCCTGAGTTCGAGTGTCTTCAAAGCCCACGACACCTTTGGTAAGTGCTGTTCTCCAACTGGAGCGCTTGCAGGCCAGGGTTTCCCAGTTGTCAGTGTGTACAGTGGTACCTCAGGTTACATACGCTTCAGGTTACAGACGCTTCAGGTTACAGACTCCTCTAACCCAGAAATAGTACCTCGGGTTAAGAACTTTGCTTCAGGATGAGAACAGAAATCGTGCCCTGCCAGCGCGGCAGCAGCAGGAGGCCCCATTAGCTAAAGTGGTACCTCAGGTTAAGAATGGTTTCAGGTTAAGAACAGACCTCTGGAATGAATTAAGTTCTTAACCCAAGGTACCACTGTACTTAGAACCAAGGGGTCTTTAGTTTGTGGGTGGGATTTAGGTTGTTTTCAGTGAATTCGTTTATTTGTTATAGTAGTTCTGTGTATGTTTGTTTACTGACTGAGGGAAGCATAATTATATCTCCTTACTTCCAACGATAACTTACTCTGCTTTATGTATTTTGAAAACCTAATAAAAATTATTTAATCATAACAATATAAATGTATTATTCTTACTAATTGCTGGGAATTAAGTACTTAACCCGAGGTACCACTGTAATTCGTTCCAGAGGTCCGTTCTTAACCTGAACTGTCTAACCTGAGGTACCACTTCAGCTAATGGGGTCTCCCGCTGCTGCTGGAGCCCGATTTCTGTTCTCATCCTGAAGCAAAGTTCTTAACCCGAGGTACTATTTCTGGGTTAGCGGAGTCTGTAACCTGAAGTGTATGTAACCCGAGGTAGCACTGTACTTAATTCGTTCCAGAGGTCCGTTCTTAACCTGAAACTGTTCTAAACCTGAGGTACCACTTTAGCTAATGGGGCCTCCCGCTGCTGCCGGAGCCCGATTTCTGTTCTCACCCTGAAGCAAAGTTCTTAACCTGAAGCACTATTTCTGGGTCTGTAACCTGAAGCGTATATAACCTGAAGCGTATGTAACCGGAGGTACCACTGTATACTACATTTTTTTAGGTCTGCCTTGAGAGAGTCTTTGAACCTCTTTTGTTGACCACCAGAATTACACTTTCCATTTTTAAGTTCGTTCACACACACACACACACACACACACAACCTGCCTGCCTCCATTCATTCACCCCCCCACCATTTGAACCACCCCCACCCCCAATCACAAAGAAAGCCCCCACGCTGCAAGGAAAACGTCTCTGCAGTAGTGCAGAAGAAAAAGACAGAGTGTGCGAGAGACGGAGGGAGGGGGAGAAGCAGTCTCGTGCGAAGGAGGGAGGGGGGCCGGGAATCGCCAAAAATAGATCTTTTCGGAATTCGTTTCCAAGCCTAGGAAGGGAGGAATGCCAAGACAGCTTGAAGCAGACCAGGGCAGGTTGGCTTTTTGCCAGGAAGCGTCTGGGCCTGATTTTAATGGGTCATATGATTAAAGATTTAATGAGGCTCCAATCAAACTTTATTAAGGCTCGGGGACGTGATTCCTGCGCACCCACCCCACTTCCGTGCCCAAGGGGGGCTGGGCTGTGACCCCAGGTATGTTTGGAGCGCAGTCCCCCTCCCCAACAGCTGTGGGAAGGACCCAAGGAACCGCCTCCCCACATTCTCGCATGTCGGCTCCGAAAGTCGCCTTTCCGAAGGTCTTATCTGTCCAAAGTCGACCCCCTGGGTTTGCCCCAGGGAACAAGGGAAGATTTACTCCCGAGGAAACCGGGCGCCGGATCCGGACGCGTCTCAAGGCGCCGTCCTCACACGGAAAGGAGTTCCATGCCACTTTAAACCGTCTCGGCTTCTCCGCCGAAGACTCCTAGGAACTTCAGTCCGCAAAGGGTGTTGAGAGTTACCAGGAAAGCGCTCGCAGTTCCCAAAATTGCCTGGGAAGAGTGAGCCGATTGGTTCAACTGTTCTGGGAACTGTAGCGCTGTTTGAGGAAGAAGCGCCCCATGCTGTAGAATGAGAGGAACGGACTCCCCAATTCCAGCAGGAATGGCTGGCTAGATTTCCGAATCAAAACGCAGTGTAGTAGTTAAGAGTTAAACCAGTGTAGTGGTTAAGAGCGGTGGACTCGTAATCTGGTGAACCGGGTTCGCTTCCCCGCTCCTCCACATGCAGCTGCTGAGTGACCTTGGGCCAGTCACACTTCTCTGAAGTCTCTCAGCCCCACTCACCTCACAGAGTGTTTGTTGTGGGGCAGGAAGAGAAATGAGATTGTTAGCTGCTTTGAGACTCCGTAAAGGTAAAGGTAAAGGTAAAGGGACCTCTGACCATTATGTCCAGTCGTGGCCGACTCTGGAGTTGCGGCGCTCATCTCTCTTTATTGGCCGAAGGAGCCAGCGTACAGCTTCCGGGTCATGTGGCCAGCATGACTAAGCCGCTTCTGGCGAACCAGAGCAGCGCACGGAATCGCCGTTTACCTTCCCGCCAGAGTGGTACCTATTTATCTACTTGCACTTTGACGTGCTTTAGAAAAGCTAGGTTGGCAGGAGCAGGGACTGAGCAACGGGTCCCTCGGCCCTTTCCAGACAGTTTTGGTTTCCACCCTTGTGCTGCAACCCCTTATCTTTCAAACCATAACCATGGTATTATACAGTGGTACCTCAGGTTAAGTACTTAATTTGTTCCAGAGGTCCGTACTTAACCTGAAACTGTTCTTAACCTGAAGCACCACTTTAGCTAATGGGGCCTCCTGCTGCTGCCGGAGCACGATTTCTGTTCTCATCCTGAAGCAAAGTTCTTAACCTGAGGTACTAC